AGGCAGAGGCTTGAAACTTGGCACTGCTTTAGCCAAATCTGCCTGCATGGCTCTTGTAAATCAGCAGAAAAGATGAAATGAAAATGTAAAATTAAGATTAACTCACTTTCTACTGCTTTCATTTCTTGACAATCTTACTCCAAAGTATAAAATTTCAGAGGAAATTACAATGTGATCTTTGTGTAAAGAGGGAAGAAAATTAGTCATAATAAACAAGAACAGGCAATACCATAGACCTGTGCATGCTTGACCACAGTAGCCAATTTTAGCATAGAATTTTCTGTCCAATTTCTTATTCTTTAGTGTTAACATTTATATCTGTACTTTATTGCTGTAACAAATGCCTTTGAAGTTCAATAACCTCCAATTACAAACTTAAAAGAGTGGGATAAGATATAACAGAAATGATTAATTAGTAGTCTAAATTTACCATGAAAAACAGCAGTAAAAAMACTGAACACAAAATGCTTCTGAAATAATCTGCCTCTTTTTTTTTCCAAAACTACATTTTGCAAATTTAATCTAACTTTCAAACCAGAGAAGCATTTCAGACAAGAGTTGCAAACACCCTGGAGGTAACCACTGTCTACAGTGCTATAGAGACATAGACATAAAATAYGTCAGCAATTTCTTACTTAAACAGTTGATTTGACTGCAATGACCCATTTTTAATGTACTAAAAACCATTGTATTTAGATGCTGACCCAGCCAAACAGGAATCCAAAGACTGCAGATTAGCTGGAACTTTTAAATGCATAAAATGCCAAATTAAATTTATATCTGAAGGTGACAAAATGACACTTCATTGTACCTGCAGCGCCATGGCAATCTGGACAAACCACTCCACCACCTGATTCTCAGGCAAGAGTGTGCCCTTCTGCTCTTTGAGTTTGTGGTAGAGATCTCCCCCCTCRCAGAAGCCCATCACAATGTACAGGTGCCCATCGTCCCCCTGCCAGGACTCTCTGTAGGTGACGATGTTGGGGTGTCTCAGCTGGGACAGGAGCTGTGCCTCTTGCTCTGCTGCTCTCCTCTCGCGACTGGAAGCACTTTTAAGATTTAACTTTTTGATGACATACTGTAAAAGACACGGCAAGGTATACATTAAGAGACTAAAGTAACTGCAGAAGCCCTAGGGAATTCCCCAGACCTAAAGGAAATGCAGTATTTGAAATCTCCACTTGTTATTCTACATGCAGGCTGCAGTTTGGCTGAAGGTTATGCACAATTTCTTCTTTTCTACCATTACACCATAAAAATGGAACAGATGTGTTCTATTCATCCACCTGAACACAACTCTGCTCAGAAATGTTGCGGTGTTTTGCTTTCTTCTGACTAATGTCACACTTCTCTTTTTTTCCCCCATTTTCATTTTAAATGTGTGTCTGTCATTCATCTTTTAAGCCTGAAATACCTTTTTGTGCACCACAGTTACACTCAAATAGGCCACATCAATAATACCCTTAAATATATATAAGGAAAGTATTTAGTCACATGTAAATAAATGATAAAAGCCATCTGAAAGAGACAAAAGGTCTTATGCTCATTCCTAAATCTCTTTTATTCTGTATGTAGATGGGTCAAGAATTCTTCAAAGCTATGTACAAAAGTCGTTATCTACTTCCTTAATATGTACTACATTAAATGCAATTTTAAGGAATTTGAGGTTTCAGCAAAAACATTCATGAAGCTGAACATGAGACAATAAAATCCACAGAACACTTTCATCACCCACAATACCAATATTTAATCTGACCTGGCCCTATCCTAATGTAAATATTGTAGAAATCCCTTTAGGGCATCATCTTCCCACAGAACAATTATGTGATAGTTACACTCAAACCTGCTCTTATCAGAGAGGTTTTAAAACAARAWTTWWAAAATATTTYTRCTTGCTGAATTTTAGCATCCTSAGAGATRATTCAGTGTCTGYTCTCCAGGCTGGGCCTATTAATTACCCAGCACATTTAATTAGTGTTGAGGTGACATCCCTATATAACAAGGGAACCAATTACCCAGAAAATCCACAGTTCCTTGTGACTTTGTGTTCCAGAAGCCTGCTGGATAGAACCTGTGATGATGCAAATCTTCAAGGAGGAATATCACAAAACTAATTGTGTACAGCATCATCAAAGTTTAAAATAAAATAGAAATGTTGCAACTACTGTGTTCTGTGTGTCAAGTCAGCTACAACTCTATCTTTGGGCATGGAAACCATTTAAGCTTGTATCAGCATCTTTTAGAAAATACACTACCAAAATGCAACAAACCACATACATAAGTTTAAACTTGGGATCACTTATATTTGGTTTAATGAGCATGTTCTCCTGGCAAGATTTTCTACTGAAGCCTATTACAATGCTCTTCCACCTTATTTGATATCAAACTGCACAAATTCCATTTTGTTTTGTTTTAAACAYTTAAAGCTACTTGACCTTCTCCACAAAAAAACCCAGCATTCAGTTAACAGCAAATATGCTTAAATAAAACATTCCTTTCACAGAACATGTGGCTCTATGCCAAAGCCACAACAAAAAATCCTGATAATTGTGCTACAGAAGAAAGTTTGTAAAAGTTGGCAAAATATAAAATACAGCAAATTGCACCAAATATTTATGATGAAACAACAATAGCAAGCAAGGCTCTTGTCAATGTKAATGATCAGCAGCACAGCAATGAAATCCAAGGACCTACATCCAAGTGAAAGTCACCTCAATTCACCTTTAGGAGCAGGTTAGAGACACTCTGAGGACATTGGACTATGCACCGTGATGGTCACTACACAGGTGATGGCCTGGCGGGCACAGGTCCGGCCATCACTGCTGCCCAGGCAAAGATGGCAAGGACTCGCCTCTGGRTTCCAACCAGGGAGCTCCCTTCATCCGGGAAGGACACACCCTCTGATCTCTGCTGGGMTCAAACCTTCTCCCATGCTCTCCAGTAAAATCCCGGCCATGAGGCTCACACACAAGGTTTCTGTGGCACTGCTCTATGGATGTTTTTTACATTCCCTATCAAACACCTCTGTTCTGGCCAGAGAAGACAGATGATGCCATTTTTCCAAGAAAAATATTTGTGCTTCTGCTTTGACACAACCAAAACCTTTCCATGAAGAGTGTTTTCCACACCTTTAATAATGGTTCTTATAGACAAGGGAAGAGAACAGAAAGAGCAGCTGCAGCCACATCCCAGCACCTGGTGATGGTGACACTTGCAGCCCGACACGATGCCACATGCCTGGTCGTGCCCAAGGCTGTGTCAGTGCCGCCAGCCAAGGCCGGGCCACAGCTGAGTGCCGGTCACAGCCCACCCAGACCCCACGGCACCTCCAGCCCAGCCCTGCCCAGCCCCGGCCATTGCCCTCACGCCGAGCCGCGGCCGCCACCGTGCCGTGCTCCGCGGCCCAACTCCTCGCTACCTGCTTGCGGTCCTGGCGGTGCCGCGCCAGGCTCACCTCCCCGTAGCTGCCCTTGCCCACGGCCCGCAGGAAGCAGTAGGCAGCCAGGGGCATCCTCCCGCCGCCGGGCCCGGGCAGCGCCCGCTGCCATAGAGATGCCCGGGGCGGCCGCGGCCATGGAGCGCCCGACGCGCAGCTGTACGGCGCGGGCGCGGCGCTGCGGCGGCCATTTTGGAAGCGGGCAGGGCGGCCATGTTGAGAGCGGGCAGCGCGCCTGAGGGTGCGGAGCGGCAGCGCCATCCCCTCGGCAGCGCCATCCCCTTAGCAGCGCCGCGGGCCGGGACAGCGCCGTCCCCTCAGCAGCACCGGGGTCCAGGACAGCGTCGTCCCCTCAGCGGCGCCGCGGGCCGGGACAGCGCCGTCCCCTCCGCAGCGCCGTGGGCCAGGACAGCGCCGTCCCCTCAGCAGCGCCGCGGGAGCCGGGACAGCGCCGTCCCCTCAGCAGCGCCGCTGGCCCGGGACAGCCCCGTCCCCTCAGCAGCGCCGCTGGCCCGGGACAGCCCCGTCCCCTCAGCAGCGCCGCTGGCCCGGGACAGCCCCGTCCCCTCAGCAGCCCCGCGGGAGCCGGGACAGCGCCGTCCCCTCAGCAGCGCCGCGGGAGCCGGGTCCCTGGCGTGCGGCACATTTACACCCGTGTGCTGAGCGCTGGCGACAGGAGCACGGCTGTGCCACAACAGCCCACCTGCCGTGAGCCCTGGCAGAGCCCAGCTGCTCTTCGGATGGGGCAGAGAATTGGTTAAAACCCCTCCAGCCTGGTTAAAAAGGAACCCCTGGAGCTCTCCACTGTCCCTCCCGAGGCTGAGCACCTCATAACGCTGACTCCAGGACATCCAGAAAATAAAATGCTTTCTTAATACTGAGCATTTAACCCCCAGTCCTCAGAGTCTGTGTATCATCAATGGATGATACTAACCAGCTAAAAAGTTTTGGAAAGAATTCACACTTAAAGATAAGAAATAAAATGGCCCTGCCGCAGCAGGCTGGGTGCGCACTGAGTGTGCAAGATGCAAGACCTGGGAGCTTGGACCCGATTTCAACCATGAAGATGAATAGGAACCCATGTAATGGGAAGTTTCGGGACTAGACAGGACACGTGTCAAATAATGATACCTAAATCGGGTACCTGAGTGATACGGGGGATTACAGGGGTAATTTTGAAATGGAGCTTAAATGGCTTTCACAGATTGCAAGTTCTGTTATGGCTGCAGTAAATTTGAGCCAGTAAATTTGAGCCTTTAAGGAAGTATCAGAAAGATGACAGTTTTCATTTGGGAAAAAAAGTGAGTCTGGAGTGGAGACTAATCTCAGTTGCCAGTACAGAAATGGCTGTGAATTTCTGTTTGGAGCTATTACATAGAAGAGACATTGCTGAAATATTATATAAATTCTTTAACAGATTTTCTAACAGTATTCTGTACATTATAATAATTCAAAATTCAGCATGTGATTTTCCCAAAATGCCTAATGTTTAATCCCACTTTTCTCATTGGGTTATTTATTAACACTTGGTAAACAAAGCACTATATATTTATGCATATCGTTCTGTTTGGAGCCTCACTTTTTTCAAAATGGAAAGCAATCTATTGCTTTGTGTTTTATTATTGATTCCTGCCTTTACATCATCAGACTTTTTGCTAACACATGTCAGAAACCTCAAGGTAAGTAATCAACCATGTGTGCGGCTCCCACTCCTCAGATATTAATTTCTTGCAGTTTATCAGCATTTATCAGGGAGTTCATACAATGCTGGCAGCAGGAGCTCTGTGTTCTCTGGTACCCCCTGGATGCAAGATCAAAGCTGAGACTCAGATTGGTTGAGATCTAATCAGCTTCAGTTTTCAATCAGCTCATAGGTTGTATTTCTCTTTTTTAAAACATCCCTTTCCTCTGTTTTCTCTGTGATCACTGCATAGTAGTGAAATGTTTTAGTTAAATATTTAAATGTGTAAAGCAATCAGCAGTGCCAGGGAACTGACCTTGGCACCTGTTAAGCAGTGCAAGTGAAAAGATGCTTCTAAGAAGAAGAAACCAGAGATGGAACAAGGCATCAAGATAAATGCTCTCTATCCAAATAACATGGCAGGATTTTTCTCAAAAGATTTGCATGTTAGCAGAACATAAGATACATCTCTGTCCGTCAAAGGGGCTGTTCTGGTTTTGACTGGATCTCCAAGTAAGGGAGTACTGCCTGATGTTTTGCCTAATTTTCTGTTAAGTTAAGTTGCTGGCCACTACTCCTTGCCTCTGTAAATTATTTCCCTCTCTCTCTGTGTTATGTACTCTGAAAAGTTACGGAAGGCAAATCTCTTTAGGGAGCATTTTGAGTTATTGGGTAGAACAGGACAAAGCAATTTACAGTTGATTGCTGTTGATTAGGTTATGATTTTTGCCAACCTTTTTCTTTGAAAATCAGGATAGTGACATATCTAATTTTTAAAAGCCAACTTGAGATTTAATGCTGCAAACTAAATGCCAGGGATTCTTATTTTTTAACCATCATGTAGCCCAGATATAATGTCGCTTTTTCCTCCTGATTACCATAGTGCTTGTTGCTCTCTGTGCGTGTTACAATGCTAAAGCCTCTCTAAATGGAAAACTGCCAAAGCTCTGTGCAATGCTCCATGCATGCATGCAGAGCACTATGGAAAAGTCAGTTGATTCTCCYAGTTTTGTTCTATACATTATGCAAATGCAATTTGATTGAAATGGAGGAGTTTGCTYTGTTAGGGTGAAGGTCTCAGTGCCCATCCTGCCTTGGCCCTTTTAAGCAAGCAGTATCCAGTGGAGAGTGGTGAAGCATGGCTGGAATTCTGGCTGGCTGATGACCTTAAAGCTATCAAAGCTGCTTTTAGAGCCGCAGCCAGGTGAACACTGTTGGCAGAGCCAATTCTGCTGAAAATGAAACAAAAGCCAAGTCAGAGATCCCTGTGTGCACTGGCACACCTTGTTCCTATGCATGCAGCTACTGAGGACAGGAAGGTTTTTCTATATTAACAACACCTGTAGAACTCTACATTCAGAGCATTCAAAGCCCTGCTAGCACAGACACAGCCTTGCCTTTATGGCTCTCTCATTTGGCAGCAGCAGGACTCCTGCATAGCTCACAGCGGAGTTGCATTATGGGCTCTTCTCTGTGGCACCCAATTAGCATCACTTGGGGTGATGAAATCTTCAATGTTGCTGTAGATCAGAAATAATTTACATTTTTTGTCTTTCCTATGTAGCATTTCGGGAGGTATGCAAATACCTCTTTCAGAGTTGTGAATTCCCAGAGGTAACTTCAAGTTAATTGTACAGTCTTTGCTGAGTCTTTCAGTTATGGTTTAGTTTCCCAAGCTGTGTAATCAGGGCTTCTTTCAGCAGTACTGTAAAGGAGTCCTCTTTTCCCTCCCTGTTTTCTTGAGGGTTTAAATTTCTCTTTTCCTCTCCAATTTCCATAGATTTTTTTGCACCTCTGTTCTTTTCTGTCGCCACAGCAAAACGTATTAAAAAAAATAAGAGTTTGTTCCTGTTACACAAGTAAAATATAATAAATGTCTAATAAGTGGTGCACCTGGCAAATATGTGAAAATAATAGAGAAACGTTTTATGAAGTGACAATTACCCAGGGTAGAGGATGTTAAAACCTCATTTTGGTCTAGAATTGCCTAATCATTTTGATTGGCACACTATTGCTTTCTACCCACACAGCTTAAAATGACCTTGATGTTAGTGATGTCTCAAGCTCCATCCAAGTGAATCATTAAAAATGAAAAAACCCAAAACAGAACAAAATCACAGATGTATGGTCACGTAATCCCCTCCCCTGTGCAAATCAGGGTCAGCTGGAGCAGGTAGCTGGGCAATGTCCAGCTAGAGTATCTCCAATGAACATCAGCCCAAATACAAAGTCAGTAATGCCTTTCACAGATTTTTCAGTGGGTTCTTTTTCAATAGAAATTGCAGGGTACTCCTAGAATATTTACAGAATCAAAACAGAACTCCTTCAAAACTAATGTCAGATGCACTATCCTGATAAAGAATGTGCACAACAGCAATTGTACAGTATCTTTTAATTATTTGGAGGCAATATTCAGAATTGCAGAATTTTTGGCTAAAGAGCACATTTTTGTAGGGTTTTTTTTTCATTCTTAAACTGTTTGGTAATTCCACTGTAAGGAAAAGTGTGTACCAAACAAACTGACATTTCACAGACTTCCAGCTGTTCATTTTCCAGGCTCCATACCTCAGTTTGTGTTTTGTAAGGGGAAATGAGACTGTAATCACTGTAATCACTGTAACAGATAATGATAACTCCAGTACTGGAAAGGTTGCATTTGAATTGGTGCAAACTCTATACAGGCATTAAAGGAATCCACATGTGCTTGTGAAACAGGAGATATGTACACAGAATTCATCTGGATGACAATAACAGCTTGAAAGATGAACCTGAAAAAATACACATTTTTTTGCCAGACTCTTACAGCAGAAGAGAAGCCTCCTCACTCAAACAATAGATTTAATATAGTATCTTGAATAGAACCCCAAAATAAACAAAAAATATCTCTCTGTGTCTCACTTTGCAACTCATAAAACTTCTGACTGTGAGAGGTACTGAAAGCCTTAAATGTACTTGAGATGTGTAACCACTTATTGTGTCCTTACCCCTGTATTTGGTGAAGCAGGTAAACACGAGTCCACAAAATGTGACCCCCGAGGCTCTTGGAGGCAAATGAGATAACGTGTTTGCAGCTGAGCTGATGGGAATTGAGTTACACAAGCTGTTATTTTAACAGCACTCAGGAAGTTTGTTTAATGTCCTCTCTTTCAGAACAGAGTACGTGATATTGTTGTACAGCTTCTGATATTTGCACCTACTCTGGGAGCAAATATGGGAAAAAAAAAAGTGTTCTGACTGCTTAGTTATTTTCCCCCTCCATGCAGTCTTTCCTCCTCTCTGTAATCCTGCTGAATTACCTTCCTATCTAGTCATGTTACAATGAGAGCTGGTGGGGTGAAACAGGAAAAATTCAGGAGTCTGAAAAAGTGCAAGGGTTCATCTGATGGTTTGGATGTATGTGACTGGAAAAAATGCCCAAACTGGTTTTTGAACTTGGATACAATCTGTTTTTTGGGGTACTACAGGATCCAAATCCTGGAATTCCCAAGAAAAAGGTGTCACTAGGAGGAAAAGATACTTTGGGTTTGCTCAAGATCACCATACAGCCAACTTATATTCAAGGGAGACCTGTTGAGCAGTTTTCAGTGTGTTCTTTAGTCTCAATGATATTTCATTATAAATGGCACTGAGCATTTGAGCCTCTTTTCCTCTCATTCTCTCTCATATTTCAGAAGTCCAAGTTTATTTTCAGCTAGAAGACACTTTTTGTGTCACTTGAGCAAAATACAAAATGAACAATGTTCTAAGTTTAACTTACCTTTCAAAACCACAGTATTTAAGGTACACTAACGTAAAACAAAAGCCAGAAGATTCACCGAAGTTGGGAATTCTATAAGCAAAGTAACTGCAATCTGCCTCAAATTCCTTACTCGCTCTTCCCTCAAATTTACTTCAGTTTTATTAAAGATGATCTTTCTCAATCCTTCCTTCTGCTGGACAACTTCTTTTCACTTGTGACAACTACACAGGTGCAAAGGATTTGCTTCTAAATGCAGCTTTCCCACCTAAGTAATGATTTTTTTTTCCTTTTTTCTCTTTACAGAAGCGAAATGCTGATAATGACTTGGTGAGTGAAGCTTGGTTTTGTTTGGGGCACCAAGATCATATAGTGACAAAAATGTTCTTATTGTGTTCACAAAATGTTTCCATGAGTCCAGTCTGAGGAAATGGATATTCCTGAATGTATTTCTCTCATAGTCCCCAGCAACCTTATACCTGAGCATGCAAAGAAAATAGGTATTGTCCTACCCATTTTCTTGTTTAAAAAAGAGTGAGCCTAGTTGTGAGGAAGTTGAGAATAACATAAAATGGAATTTGGAGCCATCTGGAATTGTATTGATTATTTTTAAACAAGACAATTACTTACATCCCTGCTCTAGGATGTAGGGACATCCTCTGTCTACTCATCTACTCCTCTGGTAACCACATTCACTAATATTGTGAGGCAGCAGTAAACATTTGTGCTCTTTGAATAACCATTAAAAGGCACTCTCAGTAGAGGAAAAAACTCATTCTTATAATGGCAGAATTTTTGCTGCGGTGGTAGTATTTTGTTAGTCTGTAGGTATAACTTGTGGAATAGTGTCATCACATCAGTGAAACAGATATCCAAGGAAACACAGCTGTGCTGCAGTTCTTATATTGGGTCTTTCCTTTTTTGCTTTGGAGCAAATGTCCTGCCATGTTTCTTTTTAAAAATATGATCATGACTGATTAACACAACACGTCAGTGCAACCGCTAGTGCTCTTTCTGTCTTTTTTCATTTCTCAATCTACAGGTCGTCAATGGGATAGAAATCTATAGCATGAAAATTGATAGCAAAGTAACTTCCCGATTTGCCCACAATGTCATCACCAGTCGAGCTGTCAATCGTGGAAATGTGTCCAAAGAAATCTTCTTTGATGTTGAACTCCCTAAGACAGCCTTCATTACCAACTTCAGCATGTGTGTAATCTTTACAGTTTTCTTAAAGAAGACTAAAAATCTGTGCAAATTCAACTGGGAGAAACTGAATCCAAATAGTCATTTTACTTTGCATTTTGAAGGGATTTATAAATGCCTCCTGGGTAATTTTCTAGTACTACTAACTTAACAAGTAAGATATGTGGAGAAAGGCAAACATTGGTACATCTATAGAAAAGATGACTAATTTTCAATTATTTCTGTTCATCATCATGAACAGAAGGGAACCTTAGGGAATGGGGGACCTTTCCTGTGGATTCATCCACTTTTTCAGAAATTACACTTACTTACTCTGGTGTTATCAAAAATTTTCATTACTTAATTTCCCTGATGACATTATAGCTTAATTTAAAAATAATATTTGAATGTAAGGCAGGAAGTAGAATTATGCCTTTACATTTGTACCTTTAGTTGCAATCATATGCAGTTCTTCACATGATGAGGTTTTATTCAATAAAGCACATTTATCTCTGCTAATCACACATGCCTGCTTTATTTCCAGTGAAGAGAAGCAGTAGTTTTAGGGCACAACAGCTCATTAAAGCACGTTAGAATTTCTGTTATAGAATGAGAGGAGTCCCCTATGAGAATGGCTGCTTAGTGGTCTAAGGAGTTCAAGGATGAAGTGCTCCTCTGTAGACAGTGACATCTGGACACGTGAGTCCCATCCAGACAGTTGGTTTGTCATTAGATGAGACGGGATGGTGAAGCTGCTGAAGTGTTGGAATATGGCAGGTGTAAGTCATGTTGCTATAGCCCCGTTTTGATTTAATTCAAAGTAAAAATTGGTTTAGATTCTTTTATGATACTGAGCACAAAGCTCTTCATTCCAGCTAAATTCTCTGAGGAGCCTGACTTCAGTGAAAGGGCTCAAATCCTGGCAATAGCAGGTCTCTGAAAGTGGATATTAACAAACCAATCAATATAGGGAGAATTCCTATARTAATGTTCAACTAAACTAGGACTTRCTCATCTGCAGGACAATTGATGGTGTCACCTATCCTGGAATTATAAAGGAAAAAGAAACTGCAAAAAAGCAATATGAGAAGGCTGTTTCAAGAGGACAGACTGCTGGTCTTGTCAAGTAAGGATTATCTTGTGTGGCTTCCACACCATCTTGCCATAGAAAACTGTGAGATTAGAAATGCTGTTTTGGTTAACTGTGTTACTGATATTATGGAACCAAAGAACAATCATTAAGTTACAGTTATTGTAGCACAAATTGTAAAAAGGAGGTTGCAACCTCTGACTGCACAGGCACTATCTGCAACTATGGAAAGACCTTTCCTGCAACTTTCATTGACTTTGTGTGACCTGTTCCTGGGATTAAGCTCACTGGTAAACTTGGGTAAATTCTACAAGCTGAGTATGATTTTGAGTACTGATTGATGATTTTTAGCAATAGATCAAAATTCCCATCATCGTTTTACGACTTTTTGAAAATCATATGTCACCAACTCAAACAATAAATATTGTGAAAGAGGATAACAATATTCTTTTTCCTACCCACTTAAATACAGAGCTTCAGGAAGGAAAACAGAAAAATTCACTGTCTCAGCCAACATTAAAGCAGCCAGTAAAGTCACTTTTGAACTCATATATGAGGAACTGTTGAAGCGAAAGTTTGGAAAATATGAAATGTTCATCAAAGTAAAACCAAAACAGCTTGTAAAAGATTTTGAGGTAAATGGCAGACTAATAAAATTTGACTGTTACTTAAGAGATCTTGAAATTCTATATATCTGTTGAAAGTGGAGTACCACATTCATTCCAATTGGTTCAGAGGTGAGTTAAGGACCATGATAATGTTTCTCATGAGTCCCATGGGGAGTCCTCACCAACCTGCTTTAATCACAAATTTGCTCATCCACTGAGCATTCCAATAGAAATCATGCGTGAAAACTTGAAAAAGCTATTACAATGTGTTGGAGTAACTGTCTATGCCTTTGTAGCATAAATACATCTTTCTCACACCACCCTGAAACAAGACCATCTTTAAATCACAGTGATACATATGTCACATTCTGGAATACTACAGCTTTTGTGTTCTAAAACTGTTCTTCAATTATCCCTATCTGTCTTGATAGAATTCCAGTATCTAGCTTTTCAACAAGTTATATTTCTATTAAATTTTACTTATTTCTAGCTTTGTTTTTAACTTCTGTACATGAAAAGGCCTGCTTGGCTGAATGTATGTGTACAAGTGTAGATTTAGACTGCCATTATGAATTACGAAAGTAAATTACTTTTGCTTTATGAAAATCCCACTTTCACATCTGTAATTGCTGATCTTCCAGTAAATGGCTTACTTGATGTATTGTGATTTCATCAATGACAATTATTTTTTATAAATATTTCAGATTGAAGTAGATATCTTTGAGCCCCAGGGTATCACTGAACTGGAGGCAGAAGGAACATTTATCACCAATGAGCTGCAAAATACCATTAAAAAAAGTTTTTCAGGAAAAAAGGTACATTGGTTACTGCATTCTATAATTTACTTATTATGGTTATAATTCTGAAACAATGACGCCAGTGCTAGCAATGGAAGTGAGAGGAAACATGGATGCCAGTAAGATTATGTCGTACAGAAGGACTGAATCAGTAACAAGCAGTTTTCTTGTGTGTGAACGTGGTAGAATTCCTAAAACATACAACAGTTTTATCAAAGATGTTATTCAGAGTGGAGAGCTGGCCCAAAGCAGATGGAGAAGTAAACAAATGGAGAAAGTCCTAGATAGCAGCCTTCATTATCAGTTACCACCAATAAATTTCTAAACACGTATGGATACATACAGACTAGAGGCCAGCCTGATAAAATAGGTTATTCTTTTGTCTGTGAATATAAATATACCAGCTTAAAAAAAATGCAGATGTATTCTGTAGAAGATTTTCAGCTATTAAGACCTAAGGAGGGCTTTTCTTTCCAGGGGCATATCTCTTTCAAGCCAACTCTTGATCAGCAGCGAACCTGTGAAAATTGCTCACAGTCTGTCTTGGATGGGGATTTTACTGTAAGATACGATGTGAAGAGAACAACTACAGATAATTTGCAGGTAAATATAACAACTTGAAATTCTGAACTGTTGAGCAGTTTAACTTGGGTAGTAAAGGTCAGGGAGCAGTGAGGGCCAGCTGTTCCCTGAGGGACAGGGAGCTGAGAGTGAGCAGGAAGTCAGCCTTCAGGGTGGGATCCAAAACAGTAGAATCTATGGATAGGAACAGGTATAGGTGTGATATGGCTGGAGACAGATGCTCTGACTGTAGCTCAGGCAGGGTCTAAAGGCCCAGTCTTGCACTTAAATGACACTCCTGGGCCCATGGACAAAGGTGAGACTGGTCAAGGCCATTGAAACCTTTTAGTCCACCCAGAGGCTGGACACTAATTGAGAATGTCTCCTTTATCTGTTTTACTTTTATAATGTACCAAAGTTTTTGGTGGTGGTGTGGTGTTTTTTAAACTTTTTTTTTTTTCAGATTATCAATGGCTACTTCGTACACTTCTTTGCACCAACAAATCTTCCGAAGTTGTCCAAGAATGTTGTTTTTGTATTGGATACTAGTGGCTCAATGAGTGGAAGACCAATGGAACAGGTAAGTTATTACATTAGTATAGAGTTTCAGTGAAAGAGCTGGAGCAAAGTGTTGGCAGGGAGATGGTGCTGGAAGGGACACAATGCCTTACTGTGCACATGTGCTGCTTAAGCTGTACCAAGTGGCTTGATGGTGTGACCTCTGTAACACCTAGTACCATATGTTCTAGTTTACAGTGTTACCACAGAACAAAAATCTATATATTTAGGCTATATTTACTTCTACCTGTCATTAGTTCAAACCTCTAAATAGCAACATTTCCAGCGAGTGCTCTCACATGTACTTGACAGTTCCAAACTAAGCTATGCATACAGATYAYGTGCATTTTCTCTGTTCATTCTATWTCTGRGAAGTAGCAGCTCTCTTCAGAGTTATGACTGAGCTGATGCTCAGAATTTTCTTGTTTTGGTGCTGCATCAAATTATCCAGGCACGCTTATAAGCTTCTCCACTAATCTGTAGCTACCCATTTGCCATGCCAGCTTATCTCAGTGTAAGCAACCAACATCATGACAGGAAATCTCATTTTCATCTCAGCTAGGAAGATTTACCAGGTGTTATTGCAGCTGACTGACTTCCCTAGAGTTACTTTGAAATAGACACAGGGACTGGCAAGAATGGAACAAGCTCAGAATTTTTGCAATTTACACTGTATAAGAGAAAAAAAATAGCAAAATGCTGACAGATTAATAATATAAAATCTGAAAGCACTTATTCTGTTAAATGTTGAACCATATATCTTAAATAATCTCATGAAATCTCTTTGTCTTATAGACAAAAGAAGCACTGCTAAAAATCCTAGATGACATTAAAGAAGATGACTTCTTCAATTTCATATTATTTGAAAGTGAAGTATCTACCTGGAAAGAAGCATTAATCAAGGCCACTCCTGAGAATTTGGATGAAGCAAGGAAGTTTGTTCAGCACATTTCTGTTGGAGGCTGTAAGTACTTGACTGGCCTTGCCAGTAGGTCATTGTGTAAGTTAATTTATTGATTGATTCTGTGAACATCATGCTACAGTTTTGTTGGGGTTTCAGATTGCTGATGAGGCACGCCTGAAGTTGAATTTTACTCAAAACATTTACTCAGACATCTGTTTCTCTTTATGTTTCCAAAGCCCAGGTACTTTTCTATCTAGACATCCCTCTGCTTGTAAATCCAAATCTTTCATTTTCATGCTGTAATGAAATCTCTTCAGATCCCAGCGAAAAATGGACCTTTATTGTGAGTCTCTGCTGAACACAAATTTCTATGTCTACCTCACAGCGACAAATTTACATGGTGGTTTGATGAGAGGAATTGATATTCTGAATGCTGCTCATGAGGAAAACCTTGTTCCCAAGAGAAGCGCTTCCATAATTATCATGTTAACAGATGGCCAGCCAAACGTAGGTAAGCTTGTGTGGGATGGAATAATAAAGGGAGTTCATTAACTAACAAAAAATACTAGTTTTTGGCCTTCATCTTTGACTTCTGGATTTTTTTTATGATTTAAATGCTACTATACCAGCATCTTAGTACTAAACAAAGTTTTTTGTAATGTCTCCTAAGAAATCTGAACATGAAAGTCACATTTGATTTTGTGATGATTTTATCTATTTTTGACAACAACTCAAACATTTCCTGGTCTGATGCAGGTGTATCAGACACTCAGGAGATTGAGAAAGCAGTAAAGAAGGCCATTGATGGCAGATACCCCTTATACAATCTTGGTTTTGGCAGTGGTGTTGACTACAGCTTCTTGGAGAAGATGGCACTGGAGAACAAAGGATTGGCCCGTCGGATTTATCCTGACTCTGATGCAGCTTTGCAGCTTCAGGTGCAGTAATTACCACATACATTAGACCAGAGATACATCAGTTCAGATATCTATACAGACAGTCTTATATTCAGGTTATCAAAATCCCAGTGTAATCTGATATTGAGATACTCCAGAGTCTTCTGTAA